CCGTGCGTGTTTTTTCCTGGAGGGGGATCTCCTGGGGGGGGGGGGTTATTCCTGATGTGATAGTAACCAAATCTCCCTCCTGTTTCCTGTGAGATTTTCTTTTATCAGTCAGAGAGCTTCAGATAGGCCCCTAAGAATGTTAAAATACAATAATGCCCCCCTGAATCAAGACTTCATATTCCCAAGTGCTTGGTAATTGCAACTTTTCCTTACTTTCTCCTGACATTGTTTGCACACTAAGAGCTTATTTGATTGACATCTATCAGTCATGGAAAAGGAGGGGACCTAGGATAGCTCATATTGGAGATATGTTAAATAAGATGGGATGGGTGATATAATAAGATCGGCAACAAGAAATGGAGACCACCTATCTACAGGTCCTGGGGTCAAAGGCAAAATGCAGACACTTAGGAGTTATAAAAGGCAGCAAGAGATGACTCCATTCTAGAGAACTGGTTTCCTTAATAAGACAGGGACCCAGGGCTGTACTAGTATTTATGGGCACCTTATAAAGACTGATGAATTGATATTCCTTCCAATGAACATATTTTAAATAAATTGTTCAACATTTATTTATAAGTGAGCTGAGTATTTTGGGGGAAAGAGAAGAAACAACATTCTTGCTGGTAGCCCCCAGAGCAAGCTGTTAGCTGCATCAGTATTCAGCTGGGACCAAAACTCACATACCATGTGGGGCAAAACAAAAGCCTACAGCTACCAGATTCTCCCTCACAGAGAGCAATTGAGGGAGATCTACTGTCCCCTAGGGCAGCCCGCAAGGGCTATCCTTTTCCCACTCCACATGGCCCATGACTCTTTTACATGATACTCGCTCTGAGAGTAATGAAATTGCCCCAATTATACAATATTTTTCATAATTTTTTAAAAGGTTTTTGCTATAGGGCATGTGTGCTCGCCGAAGACAGAGACAGTGAGGGAAGATGAGATGTTATCTCCCAGCAGGGATGGCCATGCCACAATTCCTTCTCCATTCTCCTCTTGGGATTTTGGGCATGTTTGCACATGCATCTGGAATGATTTTTGAGCCACTGGGTCCGGGACTGAAACCATGGTTGGCCACATGGGAGCCCACTGCCTTAACCACCACACCACCTGCTTGCCCCTTTAGTGATTTTTTTTTTAAATAATTTTTTTTTTAAATTTTGCCATAGTGTGCATGCTTTTGCCAGAGAGGGACAGAGAGAGGGAAAGGGAGAAATGACCCTTTGGGGCCATGCCACAGTCTCTTCTCCTTTCTTCTCGGGATTTTGTACACACGTGCACACGTACCTGGAATGATTTCCAAGCCCTCAGGTCCAGGACTTGAACTGTGGTTGGCCATATGCAAGTCTAGGGCCTTATCCACTAGGCCACCTGCTGGCCCCATTTTTAATGATGATTTTTTAATTAAATTATTATTATTACAATTTTAAAATTTGCTATAGGACACACGTGCCCATCAGAGAGAAAGTGAGAAAGCAAGTCACAAGCAAGGTCTGCGACTCAAACCATGGTCGGCCAGGTGGGAATCCAGCGTCTTAACTACTACACCACCTGCTGGGGCTTCAGACATGTTTTAATGGTGCTGACTGACCTGCTCTCCAGCACTGGGAGTCCAGTGATTAGGACTAGTGAAAACGTTGAATTATAAGGAGCAAGGATTGAAGTAGACTTCCAAGTCATCTCCATCTCAAACTTTCTGATTTTAAGACAAAAATCCACTTACCAGAATGTGTGCTCGCCGAAGACAGAGACAGTGAGGGAAGATGAGATGTTATCTCCCAGCAGGGATGGCCATGCCACAATTCCTTCTCCATTCTCCTCTTGGGATTTTGGGCATGTTTGCACATGCATCTGGAATGATTTTTGAGCCACTGGGTCCGGGACTGAAACCATGGTTGGCCACATGGGAGCCCACTGCCTTAACCACCACACCACCTGCTTGCCCCTTTAGTGATTTTTTTTTTAAATAATTTTTTTTTTAAATTTTGCCATAGTGTGCATGCTTTTGCCAGAGAGGGACAGAGAGAGGGAAAGGGAGAAATGACCCTTTGGGGCCATGCCACAGTCTCTTCTCCTTTCTTCTCGGGATTTTGTACACACGTGCACACGTACCTGGAATGATTTCCAAGCCCTCAGGTCCAGGACTTGAACTGTGGTTGGCCATATGCAAGTCTAGGGCCTTATCCACTAGGCCACCTGCTGGCCCCATTTTTAATGATGATTTTTTAATTAAATTATTATTATTACAATTTTAAAATTTGCTATAGGACACACGTGCCCATCAGAGAGAAAGTGAGAAAGCAAGTCACAAGCAAGGTCTGCGACTCAAACCATGGTCGGCCAGGTGGGAATCCAGCGTCTTAACTACTACACCACCTGCTGGGGCTTCAGACATGTTTTAATGGTGCTGACTGACCTGCTCTCCAGCACTGGGAGTCCAGTGATTAGGACTAGTGAAAACGTTGAATTATAAGGAGCAAGGATTGAAGTAGACTTCCAAGTCATCTCCATCTCAAACTTTCTGATTTTAAGACAAAAATCCACTTACCAGAAAGATGGTGTGGAAAAGATAAAACAAAATGCTTGGCTAATTTAGGAAAACCCTGTCTGCTAGAGAACACCCCAGAAAACAAGGATTCCTGAGTACACTGTTGCTCACTCAGACAACAAAAATGAATCGGGTTCTGAATGCTCAGTGTATGTATTTCCAGAGGCAAATCTGGCATTGCAAACTGATTTATATCATCTAAAGTAAACAGATGTTTATGTCTTCTGAAATTTATCTGTGGCAAAGGACTCCATTAAAATGTGGAATGCCATTACTTTATTTCCCGAATATTCAAATTTTGTACTATAGAGAAATTTATATAGTGAGAAAATTTTCTTTCTCAAGCTGCTAGGTGATTATTCATATTTTGTTTTATTCTGGTAATTTCTGATAATATCAATGAATTTGAGATTCCTAAATAAAGCCTGGTTTTTCTTTTTTGAAATTTGTGCTTACTTATTAACCCAGTTGAACCCTTTCCTGGGATTTATTTTTTATGATGGGTTGAAATTAGACATAGCCAAGCAGTCTCTCTCTCTTTTATTCTCACACACACGTACACACGCACACACACACACACACACACACACAGCCTAAATGTTATTCTTTAATAGAGTTAATAGTAAGCTGAAAGGCAGGCTTATGTGAACCCATTTCTAGTGAGATGACTGTATTAACAACACCCTGCTGTGTAATGAACAGTTTCATGTGATTTGCACAGAAAATGTTTTGTTTAACATCTGTTCAATTAGTGTTTTCATTTCATTACTGAAGTTTGTCTTAGGACCAACAGGTTCATTTTCCTATTGAATATTTGGAAAGGAATTCCAATTGGTGCACACCAGTACCTTCTGTTTAGATAACCTCCTGATACGGTCAATTAGATGAGGTCGATAGCAGTACGACTTCCTCATGTTTTAGGACAAGATTTCCTCACACATAGTACTTCTTACACCTGGCCCAAAGCACAAAATTTTCTGAGTAGGAAAGCACCCATGTAGCGCTGAGCTTGCTTTTTCAAATAGGAAATACAACGTTAAGAAAGTATCTCTAGTTTGAACAAGTTTACTGTCATTAAAGTGAGTAATGAGTTAGGAACGTGTGACAATTTAATTATAAATTGTAATTGAAAAGCAATTGAAGTGGAAAAAAACAAAGCTAGACAGTAATTAGAAAAGGATTTAGCTCTCCTTTGTTTTAGTTAGTAAATTTATGGACAATTATGGTTGTCGCCTTTTATAAAAGGAAAACATATTATGAAACATAAAACAGATGTTTCTTTTAACAAAGCAGATTGTCTTTTTATTGCCATGACTATTTGTCAATGATATGGGGAAGGTCTTTTCTTTATCTCTTTCCTAGTTGTCAGTTACAAAGAGGAACCAATGATGTCTGTGGGAAAAGAAAATCATTGGAGTTAGTGATAGTCGTCTCAGAGTGTTTAGGTGTCTGAAAATGAGGCTCTGAAAAGATTCAAACTAAACACCATGAACTCAATAGTGAGGATGTGTGAATACCTCAGGGACATTTCTTTAAAAATCTACGAGTCAGGATGTGCAGAAATGATGTGGATGGAAGAGATGATTGTGCTCTTTAAAGACAGGCTTCCCTATGGGACCAGCAGTTAGCATAATGGCTATGTCGCTGGACTCCCATGTGGTCGACCACGGTTCGAGCCCGGACCTGGTGGCTTAAACTCATGCCAGGCACCTGTGTGTGCATGCCCAAGATCCAAGATCCCGAGAAGAGGGAGGAGGAGGGATTGCGGTGTGGTCATCCCCCCTGGGGAGTGATTTCTCACTTTCTGTCTGTATGGTGAGTGAATGTGCCCTGTAGCAAAAACCTCTCAAAAAAAAAAAAAAATACAGGATTCAAGAAATGTAACAGTAATGTCCTTAATAATGCTGAGTGAGGTGATATGATTAATTATAATTTTATTTGACTGGAAGAAATTGCCTTTAGATTTCTAGGTCTTGTCAGGAATTTCTGCTATTACGTAACTAACAAAAGTGGCCTTTTGCAAGTATGTGAGAAACAACCGTGGGTCATGTTTGACTCTGGTCAACCATAACAGAATCCATAGCAGTAATTTCATCTTTGAATATAAAAATTCTATTTGAACAAGAAAGAAAGAAAATAAGAAAAAAAGTTACAGCATGAATATAGTGTATTTGTGGGTCAGTTAATGCACACCTTTTTTTTTTTTTTAAAGAATCCTTTACTTTAACTTTATTTATTTATTTATTTATTTTTAATTTGACCAGAGAGGGACAGAGGGAGGGTGAGAGAGAGAAAGAGAGAAAGCAAGTCTCCAGGTCTGAGACTTCAAACCACAGTTGGGCATGTGGGAGTCCAGCGTCCTTAACCACCACGCCACCTGCTGGCCCAACACATATCTTTCTCTGCAGACATGTAAAAAGACATCTCTAAGTCAGTTGCTATGAACCACTGAATAGGGTATATACAAGTTTGATGAATGGAGCCATACTTTGTTTTATTTATTTATAAGATTTTTTTTTGTCATAGTGTGTGTGCACTTGGCAGAGAGAGACAGTGAGAAGGAAAGTGAGAAGTCATCCCTCAATGGCCATGACACAATCCCTTCTCTTCCATTTTCTTCCTGGGATTTTGGATATGCACACGCACATGCCCAGTGTAATTTTCTTTCTTTTTTCTTTTTTGAGAGGATTTTGCTATAGGGTGCATGCACTCACCAGAAAGACAGAGACAGAGAAATAGAAAGTGAGAAATCACTCCCCATGGGGTATGGCCACAATGCAATCCCTTCTCCTCCATTCTCTTCTCGGGATCTTGGGCACGCATGCACACGCCCCTGGTGTGAGTGAGTTTAAGCCACCAGGCCCAGGACTTGAAGCACAGTCAACTACAGAGGAGTCCAGCAGCATAGCCATTACTCCAACTGCTGGTCCTGTCCAGTGTAATTTTCAAGCCACCAAGTCCAAGACTCAAACCACGGTTGGCCATGGGGTAGTCAGCACCTTAACCACCAGGCCACCTGACCACCTCTAGGAACCATTTTTAAATGCACTATAGACAGTAAAAGATAATTCTTCAGAGGAGTAATCATCTCTTAATTTATTTGCTTAGTTGTTTTTGGTTTTCTTAATGTATAGCCTCAGAACAAGACACAGCTGCATAAGCAGGATGGTAATGGGTGTGGGGAGCAGAGCAGAGGTGGTGGTGGTAACTCTAACTCACACACACACACACACACACACACACAATTACCTGCACACGCCACCCGCACAGGCACATGTCACTAACACACCATGAGCTCTTCAGGCAGTACTATACTGCTATGAAAATAAAATCTTATACCAATTTTCTCATGCTATCCATTTTTTCATGTAAACTAGGTCTTTGACTGCCATTTTCTTCCCAACGAAGTGAAGTATATTCACAATGGTTGCCCAATTCTTGATGAAGACGCAGTAAAGCTTAGACTGTACAGGTAAGCGGCACAGGAGCTTGCTCATTCCGTGCCAGAGAACTGTTCTGTGTCCTCCTTAGGGCTTTCTTTGTGGACCTGCACTACTCTGAGGGGAGTTAATTGATTCCAAACAAGGAAGTAATCAATAGAAACTGGAGACCTGAATGGTTGAGGCAAGAATTAGAGTCAACTTTTAATTATTTCCATTTGTATCATCTTCCTTGGGGCTTTTCTGCGGTAGATTATTTACCCTATCCTGGTTCCTTTTGGTATTCGTACAAATATCTCTGATGGTCCAACCTATCATGTGTGATAGGAATTATAAGCTACAAATTCTTTTTTTTTTTTAGAGGTTTTTGCTATAGGGTGCGTGCGCTCGCCAGACAGACAGAGAGAGACATAGAGACAGAAAACGAGAAATCACCCCCCCAGGTGGGATGGCCATGCTGCAATCCCTTCTCCTCCATTCTCCTCTCGGGATCTTGGGCATGCACGCAGACGTGCTCGGCGTGAGTTTTAAGCCACTGGGTCCGGGACGCGAACTGCGGTCGACTACATGGGAGTCCAGTGACATAGCCATTACGCTAACTGCTGGTCCCACAAATATTTTTTTTTAAAAGGTTTTTGTCATAGAACACTTGTGCTCACTGGAGTGAGACAGAGACAATGAGAAGGAAAGAGAGAAATCACCTTCCAGGAGGGATGGCCATATTGCAACCGCTTCTCCTCCATTCTCCTCCTGGGATTTTGGGAAGACATGCACTTGCGCTTGGTGTGATTTTTCAAGCCACCAGGTCCAGGACTCAAACTGTGGTTGGCCATGTAGGAGTCCAGTGCCTTAACTATCATACCACCTTCTGGTCCCAACTACAGATTATTAATGAGAATTAGGAAGAAAATATACTTTAATATTAAAGAAAGTTCTTTTTTCATCATTAGATGCTTACTTATAAGAAGTGCAATGTCTGCCATTTTAACATATTAAATCATAAAAATGTTTTTAAAATTACTTACAGAGTTAAGCAGAATAAATGTATAATGACTCGGTAATCCTACTCCGAAGTATGTACACAGATAACCAAAACCCTATGTTTATACAAAAACCTGCACGTCAATGCTCATTGCAGTGTTATTCATAATAGCGAAAAAACTGAACCAATCCAACTGATGAATGGGTGAACAAAAGTGGCACAGCCATACAATGTAATATTATTTAGTTATAAAAAGGAATGGAATAATGGACTATTAATACATGCTCCAACATAGATGAACCTGGAACACACTAGGCTTAAGTGAAAGAAGCCAGACACAGAAAGTCACAGATTGGACAATTCTGTGTATATGAAATATCCAGAATAGGCCAATCTACAGAGACAGAAAGCAGATTTGTGGTTTCTAGGAGGTGGGGGGAGGGACAAGAAAACTGAATGCTAATGAGTATGGATTTCTTTTTGAGGTGAAAAAAGTGTTCTGGAATGAGATGGTCACAATGGTTGTACATCGAATCAACACACAGGGCTGAATTCTGACTACTTCCACTCCTTTGAGTTTGCAGGGGCAGGCAGGGTAAGGCATATACATGAAGGGTAAGGTTACAGGAATCGCCATCAGTTTTGGTCTTAGGGACATTTTAAGTGGAATATTCAAAAAAGTTTTCGGCAGGAGATCAGGAAGCATAATTATTCCTATATTTCCTCTTCTCCAGCCCCTTTGGCAAACTACTTACTTACCCTCTTATATCTTCATTTCCTCATCTGTAAAACAGATTATCATAGTTCTTATAAGGGTTGAATGAGATATTCTTATAAAGTGTTTAGCATAATGCCTGCGCTGTGATAAAAGCACATCAGTTGGAAACTACACTACTGATGCATACTCATCACTCAACGTCTTCTCCCAATAAGAAAGACAACCCATCGCTATGAGATTCTGCAAATGCCCTGAGCATTGCTAAGAGGATGGAGGGAATGGACATAACCATCGCTGAGTACTCTTTACATGCCGAGATCTGAGCTGGGCACTCAAACTAGACTGAACAGGACTCTACGTGGTGGAGTTTTTTTCTTTTTTTTTTTTGGAGAGGTGTTTTCGCTATAGGGCGCGTGCGCTCGCCAGACAGACAGAGAGAGACATAGAGACAGAAAGCAAGAAATCACCCCCCAGGGGGGATGGCCATGCCACAATCCCTTCTCCATTCTCCTCTCAGGATCTTGGGCATGCACGCACATGCGCCCGGTGTGAGTTTTAAGCCACCGGGTCCGAGACGCCAACCGCAGTCGACTACGTGGGAGTCCAGCGACATAGCCATTACGCTAACTGCTGGTTCCCTATTTTTTTCTTAATACATGCAAATAGTTCTTAATGTTCTGTATCCCATCAACAGGAACAAGTGGGGAAAGTCTAAGTACATATATTTCACAAACAAAATATATTTCTGAGATATCATGTGCTGTATTTTGAATAATATCTTTTCTAAATATGAAATAAATATCCTATTTAGATCCTTTGTGTTTTAACACGCCAGGTGCATATATTTGCATGCACAAAATCCTGGAAGGAGAAATGGAGAAGAAGAGATTGCAGTGTGACCAACCTCAGTGAGAGGTGCTTTCTCACTTTCTCCCCTTCTCTTTGTCTCTATAGCAAGTGCATGTGCCCTCTAGCAAGTAAAAAAAAGAAAGTCCACTCCTTCAGCCCTAAGTAAAAGCTCAGTCCATAAAATATGTTAGGCGTAATATTATTTTAAAAGATAATTATTTATTAAATTTATTATTATTATTATTATTATTAATTTTTAAAAAACTGACCAGAAAGAGAGAGAAAGTGAAGGTGAGAAAACAAGCTGTCAGGTCCAGGACTTGAACTGTCCACCATGTGGGAGTCCAATGCCTTAACTGCCATGCCACCTGCTGGCTCCAGGCTTAATATTCTTAAATTACATATGTGATAGAAGTGAGATTCTGAGCTCCCAGCAGATATTAAATATCAGTATGGACAGTGAGTTTGGGAGCAAGTGTTGAAAGATGATTGGGGAAGAAGTGTCAGGAAAAGGCAGAGACACCAAGGTAAAGAGAAGGAAGGAGAAGAGAGGGGCTGGAAGTAGAGCATGAAACAAAATTCAAACTCAGTTTTATGTACAAAGTTTGTGAGAGGCAACTTTTTTTTTTTGAGAGGCAACTTTTAAGCTAATACAAAGTATCAAAAGTGTCTGGGTACCATAAACATTGCCTTTGCTCTACTCCACAGATTTACTGAAACAGACACCTTCTCGGAAGCCTTTATCCTGCGGGTTTATCTCCTGGAACCAGACTGTAACATCATCCGTATGAGTAACAATGTGCTAGAGGTGTCTGAATTCTATGGCCTGTCCCGAGCGATTGATAAGAACCTCATCAGATTCGATTATGAAAGGCTGGCTGGCTTGGAATGTACAGTCAGAATGGACCCTGTGAGAACTTGGCTGCCGGCCCATGGCCAAGTGGTTCAGGTGGAGCCTCAGCCAAAAGAACCTCGTGGAGATCAACCACACAGTTTTTTCCCTGAGTCCCGTATGTTATCTTTTATTACTTCTCTAGATACTTCTGTATCTTATCTAAAACCTTCAAAAATACCCACAAATAGTCATCCTTTGGCATGACAAAAGAGTTCTACCCAGCTAATATAATTTTAGCTGGTTAAGAAACATAGGCAAGGGGACCAGCAGATGATGTCATGGTTGCATTGCTGGACTCTCATATGGTCCACCACGACTTGAGTCCGGTGGCTTAAAACTCATGCTGCACTGAAGACCCTGAGAGGAGAATGGAGGAGAAGGGATTGGGGTGTTGTCATTCCCCTGGATGGTGATATCTTGCCTTTTATCTCTCTGTCTCTCTGGTGTATGTGCCCTATAGCAAAACACTTTCTTAAAAAAAAAAAGCTTAGTGCTTACATGAATTTTGCAATCAGAAAAATTGAGAACTACCTCTGCTATTTCCTGTGTGATTTTAGTTATTAATCTACTTGAGCCTCTGCAAAATGAGAAAAGATAATAGCTACTTCAGGGTTGTGCAAGGATGGGAATAAATGAGGTGACACACGAAGTATGCTTAAAATAGTGTCTGGATCATGGGAACTCAGTAATTGTCAGCTGTTATTCGTAATGGCCATGGCAGTGGTACTAAGAGTAGTTGATATATTTATTAAGTGTTAGTGAATTATGAGCAGATCTGAGGTAGAGATGGTAGGTAGCAGCCATGATTTTTAAAAAATAATTATTTTATTTAACTTTATTTATTTATTTGTTTATTTGAATTGGACCAGAGAGAGACAGAGTGAGAAGAAAAAGAGAGAGCAAGCAAGCCACCAGGTCCAGGACTCGAACCGCATTCTGCCATATGGGAGTCCAGCACCCTTAACCACCACGCTACCTGCCAGGCTCAGCAGCCATGATTTAAATTAGAGAAAGTTGATGGACAGTGATTCTTCTGCTATTTATTCAATTAATAAATATTAGGCTCCTCTAATATGTATGATGATGATCTAGGAACTATGGAAAAACCAAGAAATTTAAGGCATAGTAATAATTGTAGTAATACCTTGAGTTTGGACAGACGCTTACAAGTTAACGATATGCTTGTGCATAAATCTCATTTCATCTTAAGATTAAAATGTAGAGTATCTATTTTGTACATCAGGAATATGAGACTCAAAAAAATAAGTGACCTATAAGTATCACATACCCAACAAGAGTGAAAAATACAGTTGGGGAGAGATGTGAAGGCCACTGGAAAGATGAGCATGTCTTTCAGGGAGGCAGAGCAGGTTGGGTCAGGGTGTCAAAGGAAAAGTTTTGTCAGGGTGTTGGAGGGAAAGTTTACTAAAAAGAAAGGTGGGTCAGGGTGTTGGAGGGAAAGTTTACTAAAAAGATGAACTGCAGTTAGAAGGATACGCAGGGTTTGGGTGCGTGATGAACTCGGTTGAGAGAGAATTGCAGTGAGTAGAACAGACTAGGAGAGATGTGATGTTGGAGTCATGGAAGCTGATGCTGCAAAGGGAAGACTGGAACTAGACCATGGAAAACCTGCTTCGAGCCACTGGTCTATTTACTAGAGAGGTTGAAGTACCGAAAAGTACATTTTATTATTTCCTCTCTCAGTATTATTTTTGGTGAGCAAGGGCCTGATGAGACAACTGGTCAACTATTTTTTGTTTTGTTTTGTTTTGTTTTTCAGTAAATGAAATGCCAGGTTTTCAAAATGGTGAAAACTCACTTTGCGAATGATTTGTGAGGCAGTGAGAGAGATTAAGTATCCACAGGTTTTGTTTTGTTTTTCAGTATAGGAAATGACAGGTTTTCAAAATGGTGAAAACCCACTTTGCGAATGATTCGTGAGGCAGTGAGAGAGATTAAGTATCCACAGGGAAGAGGATTGGTTTTCAAATTTTATAATCATTGTATTCAAGTGACAATCTTAATCTACTGCCATCCATTCCAGAACTGGGAACAGAACCGAAGTGTCCAGGAGGAAGTTGTACCCCAGGACTGAAGAAGATAGGCAGTCTCAAAGTGAACTGCGAGGAGTTCCTGCTGATGGGGCTTCGCTATCAACATATGGCTCCCCCCCCACCCATTGATTATATCTCCATCCGGCTGGACCTCACAGATAGCAGGAGCAAAATTGTGTACAAGGTAGAGTTTGGGCTCTTGCATCTGTGTCCTCAGCTGAGGCACAGTGAGAGCAAGTTCCTCTGGGGAGTCATGCTGGGTCCCATGCCAGGGAGAGTTCCTGTGCTATTGTGGGTAGGGCTGCCTCGTGACTCAGTGGAAATGTAGGCTTGTTTGCTCTGCCAGTGCTTAAAACAGTAGCTTTCAGAGCCATAAGATGGCATCGTGGTTACATCACTGGACTCTCACATGGTGACTGCAGTTTGAGTCCCAGATCCAGTGGCTTGAAACTCATGGCAAAGTTTATGTGTATGTGTGCCCAAGATCCCAGCAGGAAATGAAAGAGAGGGGATTGTGCTATGGCCATCCCCCTGGAGGGTGATCCCCCACTTTCCCTTTCACTATCTCTGTCTATCTCTCTGGTGAGCACATGCGTCCTAAGGCAAAAACCTCTAAAAAATAAATAGTAACTTTCTTATATACTAGTGTGTAATTTCCCTTCTCTGGTTCTCTTCTAGCTCTGCTATCACTAAGGTAACTTGGGAAGGACTGTCTGAACATATTCTGTATGTCAAATTTTGTATCTTGTTCTTTATTATATTTATGGTTGTATACCCCATCCTCATCAAGTGACTAAATGACCATTTACCCAGAATTTCTTCCAGGTTTTTAAATGATATCTTCTTTACATTTGCCTTTTCAATCCACCTGAAATACATTGTATTATAAAATTAAATATAAAGATCAGTCTTTTTCCCAATTGTCAATACTACATGTTGAACAATTAGCTTGTTTTCCACTGATTTTAGATGATTATTCTATTGTATAGAAAGATACAATATAGACCATTTCAAGGTTAGCTCTTTTGTTGCTTAGATTTACCTAATTATTCTAGCACCAGTACTATACTTATTCATATTTATTCTACGTTTAGTAAGTCTATAATATACTTTAATATCTTATGGACAAATTCTCCATCACTTAATAGTCTCACCATTCGATAAATAATTAAATTATTTATGTTAGTTTCAAAAAAGCTTCTAGGGGTTTTATCTGAGTTGAATTAAAACTATAAATTATTTGGAGAAAAATTGAAATATGAAAACATTTACCATACTGAGTTCCTTTATCCAGAAGGAGGCATCACTTCATCCGGGCAAAGGTTCTTTTCTGTGATGCTGCAAAGTTTATAGCTTCCTTCATTAAGTTGAGTACACTTATTAAATCCATTCCTGAGTGATTTGATTCTGTGAAACTACTGCTAATAGAATCTTTTCCTCTTGTGTATTTTCTCATTGGTTATTGATGATAAATAGGAGAGCTATTTTTTGGAACAGTTTTCTTTTATCTGGCTTCTTTCCTGAATTCAATTATTTTAAGGCATTTTCAATTCCTTGGGCTTTTAAACACCATAATTATATCTTTCACTAATGATGATAATTTTGTCCTTTCTTTTTCTGTAATTATTCCTTTTATTTCTGTTCTAGTTCCCATAGCTTTGGCCAGAAAAATATTAAATATAGTGCTGCTTATACAAATTTTTCCTTATGTATTTTATGAATAATAACTTCCCACACTGTCCCTTTTAATTCTTCTTCCCTTAAGTTCATCTTTGTTTGAAATTAATGTGGTCTCTTCTGCATTCGTCCTAACATGGTGCTCCTGCTTTTTTTTCCTACATGATAAATTTAGATCATCCTTTTACTTTCAATCTTCTTAGAGAATTTTGAGAGCCTTTTTTGTAAGGTATATATAATTAGACATTTTTACTCAATCTTAGAATATTTGTCTTGAATATGGAAACAAACTATATTTGTGGTGATAATGAGTACATTTTTTTTCTACCGTGTTTTATGCTTTTTTACTTATTAAAAAAATTGTCTTGCAAAATAGGTTGTTTTCTTTGCCTTTATCTTGTTTAAAAGTTCTTTATCCCACTTTATATTTTAGTTGGATTTAATTTTACATTTAAAGCATATTCTTTAAACTGTAGTTACAATATTTAAGGTCAAAATATAAATGTCATTTCTTGACCCTCTTCCTAAGTATGATGAGAATTGATTTAATTGATCCTTTTTCTTGGCAATTGCCCACTTCCCAGGCTTTGTTATATAATTCACAATTGAAGTTCTAGCATGTGATGGTATATCCCATTATTTCTCACATCCTCTTTTATTTCAAGCCAGCTTTTTTGACATTTGTATCCATTTTATTAATTGTTTATAAAATAACATATTTATTTAGATTTAACTTGAGACTTAATTGGTCTCAGTGTTTAGCACCAGTCCTTTTAAATTATAGTTTATCTGTTCTTGAATTTGCAAATTATGCATCTTCAAATATTTTCCCCCAAATTATACATCTTCAAATATATTTTTCCCAAATTGTGCATCTTCAAATATTTTTTGTTTTCTGATGACATGTGAAGAGTAGGTACACTAGGCCCTGGGATGACTCGGTATGCCATTCATTTGTCTTCAACAGCCATGCAGTGGGAAGTGGTGAGGTTGTCTTCTCTGTTTCTCCCTTGCACTTCTCTCTTCCAAGCCTTGCTGGCTAGTTTTTAACTTTCAGGGGTGTGGTGGGTGATGGGGGTGGCCTGGAGGGAGTGTTGGAGAGAGAGTTCTGATCCGATCAAGCACTGATAGAACATGATTTCATGCTCTCAGAACCTGGCAGGTGTTTCAAGCTGCTGCTCTGTCTCAAAGGAGACGTCACAGTTTCTCTGGAGAGCTCTGTCAAGCTCCCTCTCTTAGCTCTTTGCTCTTGGAGGATGCATTTCTAGCCTGAGTGGTCACTTGCAATTTCTCCTGCAGTCCCTAGAATAGGATTTCCATCTGCTGCTTTTGGCTGCTGGACTTTTGGCCTCTCACTGCCCAGTCCTCTGTCTCACAGTGCCCATATCTGAGAGCACACACACGTCTATGCTGCCACATACGAAGATGGGCTGATTCTATAGCACAGTCACTGCCATCCTCTCTGGCCACTTCACTTCCTTGGGTTTGAGCCCAGCAGTAGCTCGCCTGTAGGAGACATTTGAAGGCTGCTCTCAAGGAAACTTCTCTCCTGAGAGCTGAGACAAGGAATGTAGCACTGCCCCACTCTCCTGCTTCGTGGTCAGGACTGTGGTGTTGAAGTCACGACACTTAGCACACCACAATGTCCTCTCCCTAAGTGAACCTCTTTCTCTTGCCACTCAATTTTGTATATTCTTACAGGGCGCTAGAAAGTTCTTGAATCTAGAACTGGCTCTAGACAATTTGCCTATAGTATCTGTCTCACAGTCATTTAGAAATCTGATTTATCTTTTTTAATAGCAACTTTAGTTGAGACTGAGCCAAGGAAGATTTCATTTTTAAAACATTCTGTTTTATACAGATTGTACCTCCTAGCCCAATATCCAGTGTTCAGCTGTACTGGACTAATGTAATTTTTCTTTTTTGTTTGGGAGAGGTTTTCACTATAGGGCGCGTGCGCTCGCCAGACAGACAGAGAGAGACATAGAGACAGAAAGCGAGAAATCACCCCCCGGGGGGGTGGTCACGCCACAATCCCTTCTCCTCCATTCTCCTCTCAGGATCTTGGGCACGCACGCACATGCGCCCGGCGTGAGTTTTAAGCCACCGGGTCTGGGACGCAAACCGCAGATGACCACGTGGGAGTCCAGCGACATAACCATTACGCTAACTGCTGGTTCCCATGGACTAATGTGATTTTGGTAATTGAACTGGATCCCCTCAACAAAAGATATGTCAGAGCCTAGAAGAGCCAGCCTCTACCACTGTGAGGATCCTCCCTCCCCCATAGCCCTGCTTGAGACTCTAGATCCGTGATTCAAGTTCATGGTTTCTTTGGACGGTCTTGTACTCATAGCTCTCTCAGTTTGTGGGAGGATGTATTTCTAGCCTGAGTGGTCACTAGTAATCCCCACAATTCATTCTTTGCTGACCCCAGCAACTAAGTCCATCCTTCTGGTACGTGAGTGCAGCATTATAAAGATATATCTCCTTTATCCTTCCCCTGCTCCTTTTAAAGCCAACAGGAGAAAGTGGGCAGGGTAGCCAGAGGAGGTTTGTGCTGTGTGGCAGAGACTGCTAAGTGCTTTACTTTAACAATTTCATTTAGTCCTTAATATTTGAGACTCTAGCATTTCTATTTACAGATGGGAGTAAAACAAGAGTTAAATATCTTGTCTATAGTCATACAGATTCTAAGGGTTGGAGACAGAATCACAAGCACAATTTCTTTTTATTCCAAAATAGTTATCTCCTTTCTAACCCTGTTTGTATTTTGAAATCACCAGGGAGTTCTAAAAGTACCATTTCCTAGTCCCTTCTTTGAAACAATTAAATGAGTCCCTCTGGTCATGGATATCAGCATGGGTTACAAGTTCCTTAGTGTCCAGCCACGGTGGTGCACACTACTAAGATGCTGTGCTCCTCACGTGGGCCCACATGGGAGGCCTGGGTTCAATTCCCTGTCCAATCTAAAATCCAGGCACAGTGGTGTGTGCCTGTAACCCAGCAACTCAACATAGCAAGACGCTGTCTAATACAATAGATAAATAAAAAGCTGGGCCCAATGTCTGTAGTTCAGCTGGGAAGCTGAGGCAGGAGCTACATGGTGAGACCCTATCTTAAAAATAAATAAATAAATAATAAACAAATGATTCTAAGGCGTAATGTGCAGTTGTGCAGTTAGGTTTCAGATCACTGCTGGATACATCCTCTAAGCTGCAGCTTTTCACACTGTTAACTCCTTTGTAGCCTCATTCATGTCATATCTTCTTTATATTTACTTTCTCCTTCAAAAGTCAGAGAGTGCGTGGTTGCCCATCTACATCAGAGCTGGCATTCCGAATCAGATACCCAGGGCTGCATTCATGGCCACGTTTATTCTGGAAGTAGATCAGTTCATCCTGACCTCTTTGACTACAGCAGTTCTGGACTGTGAAGAGGATGAGACACCCAAGCCCTTGCTGGTGTTCAACATTACAAAAGCTCCACTCGAGGGCTACATGACTCACCTCCTAGACCACACCAGACCCATCTCCTCCTTCACCTGGAAAGACCTCAATGACATGCAGATTGCCTACCAGCCTCCAAACAGCAGCCATCTGGAGAGGAGACACTATGAGGTAAGAGGAAAGGGGTAGGTGGTGGTGCAGGGGTCACATTACTGCGCTCCCATGGGAAAGGGCATGGGTCAGAGTCCTGGACCTCCCTGAGAACATCGGGTATAATCTGGGCCAACTGAGACAGGCTGGATCATGGCATGAAGACTCTGTTGGGATGCAGCTCTGTTTCTCTCTCTCTCTGAAGAAATAACTAAATTAACATTTTTTTAGAGTACATGTGCTCACTAGAGAGACTGAGAGGCAAAACGAGAGATCATCCCCTGGGGGGATGGCCACACTGCAGTCCCCTCTCCTCCATTCTCCTCTTGGGAGTTTGAGCACACACGTGCATGCACTTGGCATGAGTTTCAGGCTGCTGGGTCTGGGACTAGAACCACAGTTAACTACGTGGGAATCCAGTGATGTAGCCATTAAACTGTCTGCTGGTCCCAAGCTTTTTTTTTTTTTTTTTAAACGGCCTGCTGTGCCAAAGCTTTTTTTTTTTTTTTTTTTTAAGAAAAAGAAACAAGCTTCTAGCCTAGTTGGCATCTAATTAATGGAGGCCACTTCTATGGATCCTCAAGTTTGTTTTACATTCATTGCCTCAGCAGAGAATCAGTCACTATAAATCAGAATGCGAATGACATGTCCAGAAAAGCCAGACAGGTCATGCAAAGGGGTAGCCTGCACTGGGGAACACTGGCAACCTGCAGATAGAGCCAGTGCCTCAGGAGCAGCTGCCTCTGCTTGGCTGAGTCTGCCATGTGGAGATGCATCTGTGTAGCTGCAATTTTCATTTGCCAAGAACAGTAGAAAATCTAATATTTTTGGACAAAGTTTAAAACATTTTTAGACATCACAATGAAAAGTTTGAAGGCCAGACCATGGTGGCACAAGCAGGAGGGTGTCCCTGTGTAGTAAAGTTGCGTGGGAGGCCCAGACCCACCTAAACAGGACAGGCATGGTGGTGTATGCCAGTGGTCCTAGTCAACCTGGAGGTTAGGGCAGGAGGATCTCAACATGGTGAGACTCGGTCAAAAATACCTCTTCTTTTCTTTACCTCCCTCATTAATTTTTAAATTAATTTAAAAATTATTATTCATACTTTAAATCGCTATACATCATTTTACATTGTGAAGAGACTTTACCCAGCATGATATACACCTCAGTCCAGCCCAGTTGAGACTACTATACACATCCTCATCAACAGATAAAAACAACCTTATCTGTGTCCCATAAGTGTCTTACCTCTCCACTTCCCTTTCAAATTTCCTATACCTCTTCCCCTCCCACATTCCCTTCCCACTTTTTCTCTAGTGTCCATTACAATTTTTAATACTTTTATGTTCTCCAATCCAAATGTCCACAAACAGATGAATGGATTGAAAAATTGTGGCACATATACTGCATAGATGTGGACATTTGGGTTGGTTCCATGTCTTAGCAATCACGAATAATGCTGCAATGAAAATAGTTATGCAGGCGCTTTTCCAATTGAGTGCTTGCTTGTTCTTTGGGTAGATACCCAGGAGTAGAATTGCTGGATCATATGGTAGTTCTATTTGAAGGTCTTTGAGGAACCTCCATATCATTCTCCACAGTGGCTGGACAAAAAAATTTCTATAGGGAATGTGCACTTGCCAGAAAGAGAAGAAGAGGGAGCGAGACTAAGTGAGAAATCATCCCTCCAGGGAGAATGGCCACGCTGCAGTCTCTTCTCTATTCTCTTTGGATTTGGGGGATACAAGCACACACGCCTGGCCCATTTCTCAAGCTGCAGGGTCTGGGACTTGAACTGTGCAGTCAGCCATGTGTGATATAGCCACCTTAACCACTACACCACATAGCTGGCCCTCAAATTCTTTTAAAAATATATTGTGCTGGGACTGGCAGATGGTGTGGTGGTTGGGGTGCTGGACTCCCACATGGCTGACCGTGGTTTGAGTCCCAGACCTGGCGGCTTGCTTTCTCACTCTCCCTTTCTCGCTCCCTGCCCAAATTGAAAAATAAATAATAACAAATAAAATTATATAAACAATGATTTTTTAAAAATATACTGTGCCACTATGAAATATTCTGGAGGCCATATTTGGCCCCGTGCTCGCCAGTTTGGGAGCTCTAGTGCTCCTCAGCAGCTTTCCTACATTACGCAGATCACTGAAGTTAGAGAGGAGTTTTATTTACAATGCTTTGATTCATAAATTTTTCTTTCTTAGTGAGAGCTTTTTATGGAGTCCTTAATTTTGTCTAATAACAGCGACTCAGAATAGGACACCTCATAGTCTCATCTGCTAACTCATTTCACTATGAAATGCTTTCCATTAGCAAAGTCCTCCTCTTGGTGTATTGATAAACCCCTTTCATTGTCTCTATCACCTTGTTTTGTATTCAAGGGGAGGGGAGACTAGCTGATTGTAGTCTCGCAGGTCATAACACTTCATAAACTTAAAGTTCTCACTAACAGGATGGAAAATTTAAACAAGGAGATTGATTCAGACTTGAGTTCAGGTTTATTAAGGAAAAAAGAGTATCTCTGGGGTTACCAAATTGTTCTCCATGTAAGTTAGGCATTTTCAGCATTTAGGCTCAGGGGCAGACAGGCCTTCTGACTGTAAGTGCTGTGCTTAGTCCTTGGCTCTCACAGTCTTCCCCGCCACGATGTCACTTCCCTCTCTCTCCCTAACCTCTCGTGCCTTCCCTGATCCGAAGTAACTTCTCACTGGATATCCTGCTTTACCTGGAGCTCACAAATAAAGCACTACCATTCTGACTGCTTCCTATGTGTATTTTCTGGAGTATGATGTAATCTCAAAGAAGAACTTGTTCAACTATGTGATTTTTTTGGAGAGGTTTTTGCCTGAGGGCATGTACACTCACATGCATCTGTCTGCTTATAGGTGGAGCTGGAGGTCTACGACTTCTTCTTCGAAAAAAGCGCTCCTATTACGGTTCACCTCTCCATCAGAGCAGCAGACACAAATGCCCCCCGAGTATCCTGGAATACAGGTGAATCTCAACATAAGGCATTAAAGCAACACAGCCCTGAAGGGAGTATGAGAAAGTAGATGGGTCGGTAAAGAAAGGTCATTTTCTATTTTGCACATAAGGCACCTGAAACCCAAATAGGTTAAGGCATCAGAGAGGTGTTTTGTTTTGCTTCATAGTGACAGTGTGGAATACTTAAATTCAGGATTTTCTTTTTTTTTTTTTTTAAATTCAGAATTTTCCTGTGCTGATGCCAAATTCTTTTATCTTCCACAGATAAGACAAAAGGACACTTTTCAATGGAAAAAGTGAGCCAAAACGTGACTATCTGTGATCCTGAGCTGTAGTTAGATTGAGAGAGGAAATGTCAACAAGTCAAATTGTCCAGAAAGTTTGGAGGAAGGTGTAGACTGCAATGCATTGCCTTAGTTTTATGTTGGATTGCATTGAAATCAAAATATGTAACTAAGAGTTTAAGCTGCCTTTTTTTTTTTTTTAAAGGTTTTTGCCAGAGGGCATGTGCACTTGCTGGAGAGAGAGAGACGGTGAAAGGGAAAATGAGAAATCGCCCCCTGGGGGATGACCACATCACAATCCCTTCTCCTCCATTCTCCTCCTGGAACTTTGGGCACACACACACACACCTAGTATGATTTTCAAGCTACCAGGTCCAGGACTCGAACTGCAGTAACCATGTGGAAGTCCAACACCTTAAACACCACGTCAACTGGTGGCCCCTTAAATTGCTTTTTTAAAGTCTTTGCACTACATTTCAATTATGAATAAACTCAGTGTGAAGTATTAGTTTGTTGGGAATGTCATGACACATTTTTGTATAGAAAAACAGAAAAATACATCATGACTTTCTTGATGACCTAGTATATATTTACATCAGATGTAAATGTGGAATATAAGTGAAACTTTTTCCTTTCCCACTAATTCTATCAATGTCATTCAAAACATATTTGAAAGAAGTGGGTTGTTATTAATAGTAAATATCTGTGTCTGATTTAAATCCTCAGGTGGCAGCTTAAATGAATTGCTTCGTGGGTATACATGTGTGCCCATACACATGTAGACATGAATTTCAGCAAACATGGAGAATATGGGTTGAAAGGCCTTGATGTGTAATTCTGGTTGTATGTCCCACTCTACCTCTGTTGGAGAGCTATGAGAAAAAAGAAAGAATTGATAACTAAAGGTTTAGTAATCACAAGTTATATTAATTATTGCTTAAGCAGAGTCAGGATAATCTGTATGTTTATGTGTGTTCTATGACACTCAAGTTTGAAGTTCTAAATCTGGTTTTGGCTTCTTAGAACATCAGAATCCTTTGTTTTAGCTTATTTATTAATTTATTTCATGAATATGTGTGCATGCAAGAGACAGACAGAAAGGGAGCACTCCCAACAAGAAAATGATGCTACCATCCACCCCCTGGCCCCAGCCAGCCTTGGATCATGGGCATGAGTGTGCCCAGTATATTCAGGGAGGACTCTAAACACAATCCCAGAATACACCTATGTAGACCTGCCTCACAGAATGTTGTGTTTTACTGCTACTCCACTGTTAGGACCCTAGTATTTTTTTTTTAAATGAACTTTTACTTATAATGAACTTAAGGTATGCCATTGCTGAAAATTCAGAGAATACATTAAATATATTTTAAGTCATTCATTATTCCACCATGGACAAATCTTTGCTGTTAATCCATTGCCAGGTACATTTCTAGTCTACTTGGTTGCTCTTCTGCTCTGTCTCATGATGCCTTGTCCTGTGCTATGCTGTGCTGTGCACTTGTGGTTTCAAAATCCTTACTACTAGCCACAGAGACTCTTTATATGTACTTATCCATCCTTCTCTTCTCTCCTACTTACCCTTCCTCTTCTCTTTTTCTCTTTCCTCATTTTCTTCCTTCTTCCTTTTTGTCTTTCCTCTTTCTTTCTCCCTCTACCACTCCCTCTTGCTTCTCTCTCTTACTTTTATTCATATATTGTATATTTTAACCAAGTTTTGTTGGAACGCAGACCATATACACTAACAGATCATATACACTAACTCTCTGCTGAAAATAAGAGCGAGGAGGATGCCAGGCATGTGTGTGCCCATGATTTGGGGTTGACGGAGGCTAGAGGTTGATTGAAGTAGCATTACACTATTGGGAGTGCTATCTCTCTGTTTCTCTCTCTCATGGAGAAAATAAATAAACTCTCAAAAATAAAGAAAAAAAAGGAGGAGAAACAAACAAAGAATGGTATGATTGAGGTTTCCACTAAGAGGAAATTGTTTCATGGTGCCCATGTTAGTAAAAAGGAGATGGAAACACAGTTTTCGAGAAGAGTTGGGGACAAGGTAGGGAAAAGGCACACAATCTGTTGATTTCTTACCATTTTGTGTCTCAAACTGGTCAAAATTTGCTTCACTGGATGTTATTCCCCATGTGTCTGGGTTCTGTTAGCAACCACTTGCAAACCCCCCTACCCCTCCGCCCCTGGATTCCCTTAGAGGACTTGGCCATAGTCACAAGGGAAGTCATGCCCCCAGAGGGCAGCTGAGGTAACAGATACATCAGAAGATGAGGCAATTGTGGCAGGAGAGCTTTACAGTTTGGGGGCTACGGGGAAACCTCATGGGCTAGATAGTGGGCAAGTGGTCAAGACAAATCAGGCAGGTCAGGCTAGCAGATCTGAGGGGAAGCATAACGTGTCCACTGTACACTATCCTTGAATTTTATCAACGCATTCCTTTAAAAAGTTCAGTTCCCTTTTAATATGTTCTACAATCCATTGGCTCCCTCTACTGGATTATGAGATTTGTTGATGTTGCTGTAGCTCCCTGTCTCTAATTTAAATATTTAATCTGGAGTCTGTAGTCTTCTTACTCTGACCAGCAAGCAAATCTCCCAATAAATTTCCTCCAGTGGACTGGATCCAAGGAGATGGTTTTATTTTAATTCCGGTACTTATTAAAGTCCCTTCCTTACAAGAGTCTAAACTAGAATACAGCTCTCATTGTGAAGCATCAGGTACTTTATGTCTAAATATATCAGACATCCCTTGTATAGTAACTCTGTATTTGCATATTTAACCACTTTATATTCTTCATCCTGTGGGCTATGTATGCTATTGCAAATTATAAATGACAGCACTTTTAAATTTTTTTCTCACTTAAATTATCTGGTTGTAAACCAACAAAACATTTAATAGACACAAAAATGAAAAGTTATCTGCTGATGATAATATAAATTGTACTGTCTTTGACTTGACTAATATGTACTGTACTCATGTTGGGAAAAACCATGGGGTATACAGTAAAGATGTACAGTGGTTATATGTAAATAAAAAGAGTAATCATTTAAAAAAATATCTGAATGTAGCCTTTGAAAAATCTTTCATGAGTATTTTTGACCAAAGAAATGTATTCCGAACATCTTTTCTGGCACAATTATATTTATAAAAGATAAATCATAAGAAACTAGTTGTTAAAGTTAATAGCTGATGGGACCAGCAGTTAGCGTAATGGCTATGTTGCTGAACTCCCATGTAGTTGACCGCGGTTCGCATCCCGGACCCGGTGGACTCACACCAGGTACATGTGTGCGCATGCCCAAGATCCCTAGAGGAGAATGGAGGAGAAGGGATTGTGGTGTGGCCATCCCCCCTGGGGGGTGATTTCTCGCTTTCTGTCTCTATGTCTCTCTCTGTCTGTCTAGTGAGTGCATGTGCCCTATAGCAAAAACCTCTAAAAAAAAAAGTTAATAGCTGTAAAAATAAAATTATTACTAAAGATAGAAGCTACAGTCTAGTTTCTTGTTTATTTTAAATCACCAGAGGGCGTGTGCCTCACCAGAGAGAGAGAGAAAGAAAGAGAAAAAGGCATGAGGTATGGTCACACCACAATCCCTTCTCCTCTATTTGTCCGTCCTATTGGGATTTTGGGCACACACACACACACACACACACACACACACACACACCCCTAGCATGTGTTTTCAAGCCCTTGGAACTAGGATTTGAACTATGTTTGATCATGTGGGATCCAGCTCCCTTAAACACTAGGCTAGGGATCTGGTCCTATATTCCAGTTCTTGAAAAGCTTTCAGAGATAGAATTTTCAGATAGTTTGAGTGGAAATTCATTAATCTTTTCTCTAAGAAGTCATGCTGGGACCCAGGCAGTTGTATAACTAGACCAATGTGAGAAATATACTGAGTTCATATTCCAGGACCTCCCTGAGCATTCCAGATACACTCCTGCATGACTGTGATTCAGGCTGGTTGGGACTGAAAGTGGATCATGGCATAAAGATCCTACTGAGGGGCCAGCCTGTGGTCTGGTGGTTAAGATGGCTGGATCCCACATGGCTAGGTGTATAATTTGAGTCCTGGGCCCAACTTGAAAAACATGCCAGGCATATGGATGTGCATGCTCAAAATCCCAAGAGGAGAATGGAGAAGGGATTATCATGTTTGTATACCCCATGGAAGGATTTCTCTATCTCTGTCTCTGTCTGTCTGTCTCTCTCTCTCCAGTGAGCAGGCACCCTCTGGCAAATTAAAAAAAAAAAAAAAAAGACCCTGTTGGTGATGCCTATCTCTCTGCCTCTGTCTCTTTTCCCTCTCACATGGCAGAAATTAATAAATAAAAACTTAAAAATTAAAAAGTCATGTTGACATGCCATGGAACTTTCCAAGACACCCTTCTGCTTCTTCTTGTAGGTCTGACTCTCTTGGAGGGACAATCTCGAGCCATCACTTGGGAACAGTTTCAGATTGTGGACAATGATGACATTGATGCCGTCCAGTTAGTCATCGTTGATGGCCTACAGCATGGTCGGCTTACATTAAGAGGTGAATGGTCAACCTTTGTAACATAGAAAAGAACCCAAGAAGTAAAAGAAAGCCATATATTAACAGAATATATGTAACATCTCTTGGGCCCTATTACTAAACAAAATTTCTGTAAAATCTGGCATCTTGAAGTCATTGAATTTTGTGTTGGGATGCTCAAGTCAATGCATAACCATTTATGAACACTATCTTGTGCTTGGTTTATTATTTAAAGCATAATTTTGGTTTCTGGATGCTATATACATCCCCTATATATACTCCTCAACTGTCTGTCCCTAGTTGGAAGTAAAAATATTTCCCTCTCATTTTTCTACTTCAGAGAAATATATTGAAAAGATAACAAAAAAATACTTTAGTCATAATGATGTTATTGTGTTATTAATGGTTGTGGTAATTAAAAGAAACAAATTTATTGTTTATAATTATAAGGATGGTAGTTAACATGGTAATAACCCTAATGAAAATGTTCATACTTGATGATAAAATAATCCTTTTTTTTGTAATGAGCTCAAAGGATTTAATTCAATTAATCTCATAGTTTGCCTAACTGCAGCAGAAGGAAAACTCTCAGTTATCTTCATTTCTGATTAAAGAATTCTGAAATAAAAAATAAAGTGATAAATTTTTCTTCCTAATCCCAGGACAGTGAGAGGCCAGTTTAAACCTGGATGTATCAGTTAGGCTGGGTGTTCAGCTGCATGTACGTGAAACCCAGCTATAGAGGCTTGGAGAGGAGTCCCTTCCTTCCTGTCTTCGAGCCTGGAAGAGATAGAAGGGGCAATGAGAGAAGTCATGCCATACAAGCTTGCTCTCTTCAACAGGTTTTCCCAGAAATCTGATGCAATGACTTCTACTTGTATCTCCCTCCCAGGCTACGTCACATACAACCCCTTGGTGCAATGGAGTTGGAAACCCGAGTATATTTAAATATTCACATTGCTATGCCAAGTAAAACTAGGATTCTGGTAGTGAGGGGAAAGTAGAAAGTGGCTACCGGGCAAGGAACTAGTATAGTTCATTATGCTAGTGTTGCATCATGTATTTTTCTGAGGTCATTAAGATAGTAATTTAGTGTGAGGAGAGTAATGGAATTGTAAAAATCTGTGCAGATAATGAACAATACTTATTGATACTGTAGAAGTGAAATTTGGAGTGGGAGTCCACAATAAAATAATGTTCTTGGGGCCGGCAGGTGGCATGCTGGTTAGGGCGCTGAACTCCCACATGGCCGACTGTGGTTTGAATCCCAGACCTGGCAGCTTGCCAGGGAAAGTTTCACTTTTCCTCTCTTTCTGTCTGTCTTTCTCTGGTGAATTAAATAATAGTAGTAGTAATAATAATAATAATAACAGATCTTTAACAAAGAATGTTCTGGACTCACAGGAGATGGAAAATAGAATGAACATTTATGAAACATTTACTTTGTACCAGAGACTGTGCAAATCATTTGGAAAATAGAATGAACATTTATCAAACATTTACTTTGTACCAGAGACTGTGCAAATCATTCTACATACTTTATCTCCTTTGCCTCCTATCATCTTTATAAAGCAAGATACTAATAGTCCAGTTTTACAAATGGGGAACCCAAGATAAAGAAGGTGACTTGTCAAAGGTTATACACCTAGAAAATCAGCAGAACTGGGATTTGAACCCAGTCTGTTTGATATTAGAGCTGAATATCTTCACCTTTAAGCCAATGATTCTCAAAATTTGGCATGTGTTGAACTCTCCTGGAGGGCTCGATAAAATGCAGATAGGTTGGTTCCCACCTCCAGAATTTCTGACTCAGTAGGTCCAGAGTAGGGCCTGGGAATTTGCATTTTCAACAACTTCTCAGATAGTACTGCTGTTGCCGATTTGAAATACCTTGGAGAACTCACTTTCATAAGTCTTACAAGTGGTTTATAAGTTTAACATTGTTACAAGTTTAACAATGCCATGTAGGATCAGAATGAATTGAAGAATAACTAGCATTTATTGTAGGCTTACTGTTGTTTAAGTTCTCTTCTTGCTATGGAATATGAGGGAGGTATTAGAATTCACTTGAGAAACAAAACCAATAGGATGTATATAGATACATGTGTAAGAGGAGATTTATTATTAATATAAGAACTGGCTTATGTGATTATGGAGGGTGAGAAGTCCCTTGATATGCCATCAGAGAACCAGGAAAGCGCATGGAGTCAGTCCTGGTCTCAAGGCCTGTGGACCAGAAGAGACAATAGTGTAATTCCCAGTTTGTGGCCAAGGGTCTGCTGTGGTATGTGGAGGTGGTGGGTTACAGTGTAGGGAGTTGGGGCTGGTGTAAGTCTCAGGGTCTGAAGGACCTAACACCAGGAGCTTCAATGTCTGTGGACGAGAGAAGATGGATGTCCCAACTCAAGCAGAGAGAGAATTTGACTCTCCTCTGCCTTTGTTGTTGTTCTAATCAGGCCCTCAGTGGGTTGAACGATGCCCACTCATATTGGTGAGGGCAGTCTTTACTCAGTCTATTGACTCAAATATTAGTCTCTTCAGAAGCAAGCTCCTCACAGAAACACAAGCAATAGCATTTTGTCAACTCTGGGCATCCTTTACACCAATTTAGTTGACATATAAAGTTAACCATCACAACATTTTGATTCCTGATTTATAGATGAGTCCTAAATAAACTTAATACCTTGCCCAAGTCTGCACAGCTAATAAGGTTAGAGGCAGTATTCAAAACTAGATCTGTGCTATCCCTATATCAATCTACAGTGTTTCCAGGCAAGATAAGTATGGGCTGCGACAGTTTCATTAGGACCCTCTAGTGATGCTTTCCCTTCAGCTGCTGCCTCTGTTTTCCCTCGTTCAGTTTGCTCCATCTCTGCCCTTTCCATCAGGGGGAAAAGGATTTCTCTTCACTGTGGCTGACCTTCAGGCTGGAGTTGTTCGCTATCATCATGACGATAGCGACTCCACCAAAGACTTTGTGGTCTTCAGAATATTCGATGGCCTTCACAGCATCCGTCACAAGTTTCCTATCAATATCTTGCCCAAAGATGACAGTCCCCCATTTCTCATAACCAATGTTGTGATTGAACTGGAGGAGGGACAGACCATCCTGATCCAGAGTTCAATGCTGCGAGCTTCAGACATGGATTCCAGTGATGACTACGTCTTCTTCAACCTCACAAAACCCCCACAGGCTGGAGAGATCATGAAGAAGCCAGGACCAGGACTGATAGGTAAGCTTGGGCTGTTTGTTTAGTTTGAATGGAATCACTTCTTCCACAGAGAACGTTCTATGCACTTCTGTGGATTTGCAGAAATTGTATCAGAAGTTGTACTAAGGTGGACAAGTAGGTTTATCAAGTAGGATACTATGACTATTTCTAGTATATAGATGGAAAATATGAGACTCAGAGAAGTTAAGTTGATCTGTTTAAGGTTGTACATCTAGAAAATTCTAGAATTGAGCTGCAAAGTCACCACTACTCTATGAAAAGCCTACCAAACAAGGTACTAGAACAAATAAGTCTGAAGGGAGATATTTGGCCTAGTTTAGATGATTGATTATTTTATGATTACATTTTATTAAAATAATATTATAACTAGTTCTTAAGTAAGTGGGTCAGGAATTTGACAAAATAGGGGTCAAGTAAATAATGATCCTTTTATCTATGTGAAATAAGGCTCTCTCTATATATATATTTTTGAGAGGTTTTTGCTATAGGGCACTGCACTCGCCAGACAGACAGAGAGAGAGAAGAGACAGAAAGCAGGAAATCACCCCCCGGGGGGATGGCCATGCTGCAATCCCTTCTCCTCCATTCTCCTCTCAGGATCTTGGGCATGCACTCACACGTGCCCAGCATGAGTTTAAGCCACCGGGTCCGGGACTTGAACTGCAGTTGACTAAGTGGGAGTCCAGCAACATAGCCATTACACTAACTACTGGTCCCAAGGCTATATATATATATATATTTTTTTTTTTTTGGAGAGGTTTTTCGCTATAGGGAGCGTGCACTCACCAGAGAGAGACAGAGAGACAGAAAGCGAGAAATCACCCCCCCAGGGGGGATGGCCATGCCGCAATCCCTTCTCCTCCATTCTCCTCTCGGGATCTTGGGCACACACGCACACGCGCCTGGCGTGAGTTTTAAGCCACCGGGTCCGGGACGCAAACCGCGGTCGACTACGTGGGAGTCCAGCAACATAGCCATTACGCTAACTGCTGGTCCCCCAAGGCTATATTTTATGAAAATATTTTTAATACTAGCTTTTCCACTTATTAGGACAGGTGTGGCAATTTTAGTTTTTCTGCTTTATTATTTATAAGTTTTTATATAAAACATTTAATACAGATTACTTGGGTGTGTACAATGTACTAGGCAGAGAAGACTTTTGGAAGTACGTCCAATATCATCAGGCCTGAATATGTGGCAAATTCATATCAAAGTATGTGGTGTTTTGTGGACCCAACAGGCTATCCTGTCTCTGGCTTCCTTCAGAGGGATCTATTTAATGGGATCATTTACTATCGTCACTTTGGTGGAGAAATCTTTGAAGATTCTTTTGAATTTGTCTTGTGGGATAGCCATGAACCTCCAAACCTCTCAATGCCACAGGTAAGAGACCATTTATGAACACTTTCCCACAGATACCAATCCTGGGAGATGTTATTAGAAACTATCTAAGTACAGCTTTCAGTGTTCAAAGTTTCAGAAGCAGTGGATTAAACAAAATGATGCAGATTTCTTTCTAACAGGGCTACTCAAACATTTACTTTTCTAAAGAATTTTATAAATTTTTATGTATTTAGTATTTTTAAGTTTATTTAGCCATGGAGTCCTATTAAATAAGACACCTCACAAAATTTGCTTGTTTCCTAATACTCAAGAAAATACTAATATTACTTGTAGTGGTTTAAGTATAGGCTCTAGAGTTAGACTGCCTGAGTTTTCCTTCTGTTTTTGATACCAGCTGGTCAAGCAATGCTCCAATTTTCTTATCTGTAAAAGAGGTAATTAGAGAACCTTTCTTAGGGCCAGCAGGTGGTGTGATTGTTAAGGCACTGGACTCTCACGTGGCCAACCACAGTTCAAGTCCTGGACCTGGCAGCTTGCTTTTTCACTTTTTCTCTCTCTGGTGAATATATGGGCCCTATAGCAAATTTAAAAATAAATGTGTAAATGAAATGAAAGAAATAGTTCTTTGAAAAAAAAAGGACCTTTTGCCTAGAATTACTGTGATGGTAAGTGACAATGCATATAAAATATATGGTAAACAAATAAACTAGTTATCATTTATTGTCTTTAAAGATCTAAGAGTTTTGCTAGTACTAAAGGATACCATTTAAATATATAGAATGCAGAAATATATTTAAGCAAACATTTCCATATAGAAATGATAGAAAATGGGGTGAGTGTAGATCTGGACAACTGTAAAAGGGTAGACTCCTTGCAACCAAAAGGTGGTTGTCAGTAAAGATTAATATATATATATATGTATGTATATATATATTTATATTAATATATGTATATATATTAATTTCAGCTATATATTAATATACATATATATATATAGCTGAAATTAAGCTATCATATACTGTATTAGACTGTTGCTTGAGACTGTGATTTATAAACAAAAGAGATTTATTTGGCTCACAATTCTGGTGGCTGGAAAGTCCAAAGGCATGAATCTGTTAAAAGGCTGGCCACCTGTGCTATGTCACAACACGGCCGACAGAAGCT